TGACAAGTGAAAAAGAGGCTGGAGAACGAGTGCCAGGGCTCTGGGAACAGCTTCCCCCCAAAACCCTATCCTGGTCCTGCCCTTCCTGGGAACTCACCAGAGCGCAAGTTGGTCATGGTAGAGGGCAACTGGAGGTAGGCAGGGTTGTGGGTGGTGACGCCAATTTCAATGGAGCCAGCCCATTTGTCCACCATCTTGTCGATGCGCACCTGGAACACCTCTCCATCCCGCAGGGCTCGGCTGCTCAGCACTACGCCATGATTGAAGTCATCGGTGGCACTAAGGGCACAGTGAGTGGAGAGTCAGGTCCCCAATACATGCTCTCAGTGTGCCAAGGCTTCACCCGGCAATGCCTGCCAACACTCACTGCCCCAAGCCAAAGAGCTAAACCTCAACCTCCAGGAAGCTCCCCCACCAGGCTCCCTCTGCCTTCCACTTCCTTGTCCCACCCCTCTCCCATTCAAACCCCTTCTTCAGGCTTCTCCCCACTCCATGGGCCATACTGGGGCCTCAGGGCAGTGCGTCCCTCGTGGGTGATGGCTGCCTTCTGGCCACAGTTGGGGTGGAAGAGCAGGCGCTCGGGTTCTGCCTGGGCAGGAGCAGCTCGTCGGAGAGCACCCTCGGGGGACAGTGCCCGTAGGATGGCGTTGTTTCGGCGGAGACGGTCACTGTGGTTGTTATTGTGGACGATGGTCACCTTCACTGCCATCCCATACAAGTCCACCACACCATATACCACTGGGGGCGTCAAGGGGGTCGCCACTCCTGTGGCAGGAAGGTACAGGGATGTGGGAGTGGGCAGGCAGAATGAGAGGAGAAAGTCACACACAGGGAAACCAAGCACCAAAGAGAAGCAGGAGGATGAGGTATGGACCCCAATCCCAGGCCCACCGAACGCCCTAGCCCAGAGGCCCTCTCTGAGCGGCCCTTACCCTGATCAATGCCATTGATGAAGAAGTGCAGGGCCGAGTTGGACTTCCTTGTGAGACCAATGTGGTCACCCTCCTACTCAAAGAAGAAAAATAGTTCAGAGGAGTCCCGGGGCCTGCCCAGCACCCCACTCCACACGGGAACAACTCCAGAAAGTATTCGCCAGTCTCAGATCACCCTCAAGGACAGGTCCTGGGCCCTTGTTTTCCAGATATGACAATTTCTACGTTTCCTCAGTGCTCAACATGAGTCAGGCACTGAGTTAAACCACCTCACAGACGTCAGCTTTGACAAGTCTCAGCCTATGGAATCAGCCTACTCGGAGGCTCATTTTAAAGACTGCAGCAAATGGAGGAACAACCAAAGAGGGTAAGCTTCTTGCCTCAGTTCGCCACTACAAATGGGCAAACAGTAAGAGGAATTCAACCATCTGACTCCAAAATCTGAGTGCTGAATTCTTGGGCAACTCAGCCTTCTCGGAAGGAACCTTTAGGCAGAAGATATAGGGACATGCTCTAGGTTGCAGAGGAGAGACCCTGCTTGGTGCCCAGGCAGGGACAGAGTACCTGTGGCTCTGCTGGAGAGTGACCCGAGGCTCTGTGCCCACCCTCACCTGCAACTCATCCAGACTGAATTCGCAGTACTCCCGGCGGGTACCCTTGCCATTCGTTAGAATTCCACAGCCGCTCATCATGATGGTGCCTGGGTGATGATGGACACTCGGGTTGAGGTATGGGCTTCCTTCCCCTCAGCAACACCAGGCCTGCACCCCCACCCCTGCCCAGGGCTGGTACCTGACTGGAGGTTGGTCATGGTGGCTGGGTACTCCAAACTGTTGGGGTTGTGGGTGGTGACACCAATCTCAATGGAGCCTGACCACTTATCAACAAGCTTGTCGATACGGATCTGGCATTGAGGGAAAGAAGGGAAAAGCAGGGAATATAAATGCATAAAAGGACCTTCAGCCCTTGGTTCTTCCCCAGGGCCCACCCTCCTAGCATCAAGGGCGAAGCTCCATCTTTAGCTCCCAGGGATAAGGCGCCAACCAGACCACAGGACTTTCACACCTCAAACATCTCATTGTCCCGAAGTGGGCGGTTGGTCATGACAACCCCATTGTTGAATTCATCCAGGGGCCGCCGGCGCTCAGCTGTCTTATTATTGTTGCTGAGTTTGATGAGGGTCCCACACTTTTCATGAAAAAGCAGGGCATCGTTGGAAGTGAGGATGGGCGAGGTGGCAGCACCACTAGACCCCAGGCCTTCCCCTGCCGGTGGGGAGCTCAGGTTCACATTCAGGAGCCCTCCATTGTAGGCAGACAGGATGGTGTTGCTCACCACCTCGGACAGCTCCATGCTGGCAAAGTCTATAGCAGCAGGATGGAAGAAGAAAGCTGGGAGAAGCAGAAGGAAGAAGGAGGCTCTATGCCCCCAGGCTTGGTGCCTCTGTCTGTACCCCTTCTCCTGAGGGCCCTCCCTTGTCCACCTCACTTCCCACTCCCCTTCCCAGGGCCTCCCCAAAGCCCTCACCATTATGCGACTCAAGGCTGTTAGGAAACGTCTCCGGCCGGGCCTGCGCTGGGGACACCATGAAGGCTGGGGACCAGGTAGGATGGGAGGGGAATAAGGGTTCAGTCCCTAATTCAGGGCCCACAGCCAGGAGATACCCCATCCTCTAGCTCCCGCTCTCCCATTCAACAGACTTGGGGATCAGAGTGGCCCTGCCACACCCAGCCTGTCTTGTCACTGTTATTTCCCCCATTCCATCCCCATCCCACCACCACTGCCCTAGCTGTGTTCTCACCTTCATCAGCAGAGGTCCCCTGTTCGGCCAAGGCAGAGTCTTCAGGGGGGGCCAAGGACTCGAGGGGAGGTGTGGGGATGGGAGTAGCGGGGCTGAAGCCTGGCTCAGGGGGTAGCACAGTGATCTGGGTGCACTTGCCATAAAGGTCCACGACGGCCCAGACACGCGGGGGCAGGCCTGTGGCAGCCACTCCACAATCCCGCCCATTCACCCAGAGCCGCAGCTCCCCAGCAGCTGTGCGCTCCACACCCACACGGTCCCCTTCGCCAAGCTGGTCCAGGTCCTGACCATACTCCTCCAACACAGAGCGTCCATCTCTCAGCACAGAGCAGCCTGACACTACCCACGAGCCCCCCTTCAGCCCTGTGGCACTGCTTGGAAAGTCCAGCACACTGGGATCCAACGCTGTCACCCCAATCTCAATGGAGCCACTCCAGGAGTTGACCTGGGATAGGGGTAGTGGACAGAGGCTTAAAATGGGCCACCCCCTATTCCACAGACTACCATATCTTCCCACCTCTCAGGTAGCTAACTGGCTTTCTCTTGGAACACTAATCCAGATATGCACATAGTAATTTTCTGGACTCTGGCTCGGTAATTATTTGGGCTTTCTTTCCTTTAGCAATTCTGCTTTCTACTCAGTCTTTACTGCACCACTCCTTTCCAAGCCAAGCAAGAGTTCCTTAGTTCTCTAGCCTCCTGTCTCCTCTGACTTTCCTGGTCTCTATGGCTCTCCAACCATCCAAATTCACCGACTTCCTATACCCACACCTCTTGCTCTTGTGTATCATTCCCTTCCCTTGGCCTAATTCTCTCCAAGGATCAGGCTCTACCCAGATTCAATCTTCTCCCAATTTCTTTTTCTGTGAGTGTAGCCTCTTCAGTGAATCACGCACACCTCCCTCACCCTGGATAGTTCTCCTCACCTCTTTCCAGCACAGCCTGTGAGTTTATCCTTCAATGGTTTGTTTTTTTTGTTTTGTTTTGAGACAGAGTCTCACGCATTCTGTTGCCTAGGCTGGAGTGCAGTGGCACGATCTCGGCTCACTGCCACCTCCGCCTCCCAGGTTCAAACCATTCTCCCGCCTCAGACTCCAGAGGAGCTGGGATTACAGGGGCGCGCCACCACGCATGGCTAATTTTTGTATTTTTAGTAGAGACGGGGTTGTTTCATCACATTCACTAGGCTGGTCTTGAATCCCTGACCTCAAGTGATCTGCCCACCTCGGACTCCCAAAGGGCTGGGATTAGGTTTGTTTGTTCCTTGGTATCTCTCTTCTCTTGCCATCACATCTCTGACATCTCTCCATCCTCCACGCCCAAGAAATTGTACCAGGAGGTCTGGTCCCAGCCAGTCTAGCGAGTTAGCCCTCGTGTCCCTTCTTTGCTTCTGGATCTTGAGAAAACTCAAGCTCTTAATGTCTTCTCCTTCAAACTGAATGTTTCTGATTCATGCTGTCTTCCTGCCCGTCCCCTGGTGCTCTATCACCTTTCTGTTCCCTCGGTGCCCGGCGATGTGAGCTACCCAAGCTGTCCTACGCCGTCTCCCTCTAGTCCCCTCCCACCGCCCTCCACATCTTGGTTCCGCGAACCCAGCGCTGCACCTTGCGGTCGATGCGGACGGTGAAGACGCGTCCATCGCGCAAGGGTTCCCGGCTCAACACCAGCCCGTGGTTAAACTCCTGGCCCGGCTGCTGCCGCCGCGCTGTACGCCCACAGGCCGACAGGCTCACCAAGCGCCCAGTGCGCGGGTGCAGCTCCCCGCCGCTACCGAGAACCCCGCTGGACCCCGGTCCTGAGCTGCTTCCGCTGAGGCCCCCACCCCCACCCCCGCCCGGCACCGGTCCGGGGCCTACCCCAGAGCCCCCACTCCCACCCGACCCCGCCGCCATCTCCGCTGACACCGGGGCAGCGCGACAGCCGCGCTTGGCGGCACCGTGGCAACCGCGGCGGGCAGACACCCTGAGGAATACGACCGGGGGCTGAGGCCAGATATGCTTTACGGCACTGCTGGGCAATGAAGCAGCCCGGGCTAGGAGCTGGGGACGACCACGGTGAGAACCGAAGGACGACGCGGTCGGGAGGCTCACTTTACGGCATAGCGGGGTGACGGAGTGGCTCCAAGAGGGACGAAGACTTGGGAAGGGAGCTTTTGCGACAGTGGAAGACACGCCCACCGCAGGCATCTTTACGACGGTGGGGTACTGGAGTCTAAACACTTTCTGCTTTGCGACAGCGGTACCGATGACTCCGCCCCCGCTTGGGGGAGGTGACACCTTGAAGCACTCACTTTACGGCAAGAGGAGGGCGTGACTCCTTTCAGGCTGCACGCTCCGAAACAGTGTGAGCCGAGTCTGGAGGACCCAGGGAAGTGGTAGTGAAAGTCTATGCCTGCAAGGCCACTGAGACCGAAGTGTCTTGCGACAGTGCCGCAATCCCTCCACTTTGCCTCACAGCTCTCTGGAGAGACCGAGCGAGACGACCGGCAGGGCTGGGGGAAGCTCGCTGGTATTTCAAGTCAAGCTCAGCCTCAACTCCAACTCAACCAAACTAGTCTATGTTAAGGCCAAAAATAAAGAGTCTAAGGAATCCTGATAGGCAGTTTCGAGCAACGGCGCTGAGGACCCCAAAAGATCTCCCTTAGGGCCATTTAGCCCTCAGCCCAACTCCCCGACGCTCACACTCAGGCTGGGGGACCGTGACGTCACAATCGAGCTTCTCGCCCCCTGGCCTGGCCCCCTGACTGGGATTGGCTGATTTGGATGAGGGTGGTGATGGAGAAGGGCTGGAACAAATCGCGCAAAGAAAGAAAGTCTTTAGGTGGAACACAAAGGAAAGGGGCGAGTGGAGGGAATTCCAGCCCGAGTCTTGATTCCGCCCACCGTGGCTCGGGAGCAGGGGAGAAGGGGACCCGGGACTCAGCCGGAGCACCCCTGGCCGGCCCGCGGTGGGGGCGGGGCTAGGGGCGGGGCTAGTGGAGCCAGGAGGCGGGGCGGGATCGCTGAGAGCATCCCCCGGGTGGGGCGTCGGAGAAGGTGGAGTCCCTAGGGGCTGCTGGCGGCCTCAGCCGGGACTCCCATGGAGGGGCAGCTGGAGGAGTGCCCCGAGCGGTGAGAGGAGTCGAGGCAGGCGCTGGGCAGCCCTCTGGAGTAGTCTTGTTTCACGGTTCTAGGCCCCTCGTGCTCTCAGGGGGCAGTGTAACTCGCAGTACTGGTGCAAGCTGGCCCTCCAATGGGATAGTGGTCCTTGGTTCCGGGCCCAGTCAGCACTCAGGGGAGGCTGCCAGCCACAGCCTTGGGTCTGGCACGAACCCTAGTGGATTCAACACCCTCGGGCCTAGAACAAGTGTATCTGGGGCGCCTGCAGGGCAAGAGGTAAACAGCCCTGGGTGCAGTCCGCACTCTGAGTCAACTTGCTTGAACCCCCAAAACTCCCAAGTGGACCGGCCCCGGAGCATCCTACGAAAGAACAGTTCCAACTTGATGCAGAAATCCCCTAATGTGGAGAAGTAAGGAGTTCAGCTCTGCGGTCAGGCAGCCCAGGGTCTGGAGGGTTCAGGACACTGGAGGGGCGGAGCCAAAAGGAAAGGGGCAGAGCCTTAAGAACGATTAGAGTAGGTGAGAGCAATTGAGTGGGAAATCCGAGGTTCTAGGCTTTCAGAAGAGCAGGTGTCCCGTAAATCCTGGCTGCACCGTACTATGATTATCATTAAGTCTGATCCCATTCCCAGCCTCAACAAAAGGGTATAAGAAAACTCTTTTACCGGGCGCGGTGACTCACGCCTGTAATCCCAGCACTTTGGGAGGCTGGGGTGGGCAGATCACCTGAGGTCAGGAGTTCGCGACCAGCCTGGCCAACATGGTGAAACCCCGTCTCTACTAAAAGTACAAAAATTAGCCGGATGTGGTGGCAAGCACCTGTAATCGCAGCTACATGTGAGGCTGAGGTGGGAGAATGGCTTGAACCTGGGAAGCAGAGGTTGCAATGAGCTGAGACTGCACCATTGCACTCAGCCTGGGTGACAGAGCAAGACTCCATCTCAAAAAACAAACGACAACAACAAAAACTGTTTTGAATGACTGGAAAAATGAGGGACGCCTATGAGGAGGGGGTCACTAAAAGGTCACCTCCCTCAGCCTCAGAAAGAAGTCTCAGCACTGGGATGAGATGAATATCCTGGCCACCTACCACCCTGCTGACAAGGACTATGGATTTATGATGGTGGATGAGCCCAACACTCCCTACCACAGGTGGTGAGCCCTCCCCAGCCCTTCAGTCCAGAGATTCTTCTCTGTTCCATGGAGGGGACAGGTGGAGGAGGCAGAGACAGCCTCGGGGACTGGACACTGCCTGACCCCCACCTCCTGGCACTGCTTCCCCCTCCTCTGCAGGCTGCAAGACAGTTTTGAGGACCTCTCTGCCAGTTCCTCCCGCTCAGTGAATCCCGAGGTGCTAGCAGAGAGGTGAGAGTCCTGCCAGAGATCAGCTGGGGACTGGGGCCTCTTCCTCCCTTCAGCCTTGAACTCAGGTCTGCTTTCTGACACCCACAGTGGGAGATACTACAATTTCCATCAGGCCTGGGTGGAGGTGGGGTCTGCCAACTTGGCCCTGTTTACCACCTGTCCCCATTGCTATTTTCTTCTCTCGATGCCCCCAAATAGTCTCCCTCCCCTTCAGGATTGCCATGATGGACAATATCTACCCCAAGGTCCTCCAGAACCATGCTGACAGGAGCTCAGGGCCTGCAGACAGCTTTTCCAAGACATGTGAGATGAGGGTTGGAGATTGAATGGAAAGGGGGAGGTGGAGTGCGCCTTCAGCGAGAGTGAGATGGGAAAGCCAAGCTCTCACTATGGTCACAGACTCCACCGACTTTGAAAAGCGCCGCAAAGCACACTATGCCGAAGGGAAGTTTCTCAAGGCTTGGAAAAACCGGCCCTTGGAGGATGAAGAGGATGGCAGTGGTGGTAGTATCAGTATCAGCGGTGGCAGTCAAGATGTGATGCTGGACCCGGAGCCCAAGCCTGTGCAGAGAGGCTGGGCAGGAGAACTAGCCAGAGGAGCCAAAGACGAGCCAGGCCTCGCCACCCAGAGGCACATCCTTAAAGCCCAGGGTTAGCGATGGTGGGGCTCCGGGGACTGGGGTATTGTAGTCCAGAGCCTGCTCCTCACTTCTCTGCCACAGTCTGTCTTCCTCAGTGCATCAGCCCAAGACCCTGCTGTCTGACAGGGAGGTAATGCTGGGAGGTGACCCCAGGAAAGAAAAAGGGCAGCTGGAGGAAGCACCCCACTCAGGATAGCCCCCAGAGATTGTGGGCTGTTGAGAAATAGAAAGTCTGATTGGGGGCTGATTTGTTGGCCAGGTCCAGTGGGTCACTCCTATAATCCCAGCACCTTGGGCGGCCGAGGTGGGACGATAGCTTGAGCCCAGGAGTTTGAGGCTGCAGCGAGTGATGATGGCGCTACCACATTCCAGCCTGGGTGATACAGCGAGATCCTGTCTCAAAAATAAAATTAAAAAAAATAAAAAATATTGCCAGGCGTAGTGGTACACCCCTGTGATCCCAGCAACTCAGGAGGCTGAGGCCGGAGAATCACTTGAACCCGGAAGGCGGAGGTTGTGGTGAACCGAGATTGGGCCACTGCACTCCAGCCTGGGAAACAAGAACAAAACTCCATCTAAATAAATAAATAAAATAAATAAATAAAAGTCCGAAACAACCATGAGGGGCAGTGGAGAGGTTCACTAAAGTTCTTCTCAAATGGGAAGGGTAAGAAAAGTCAGTGAGATGAAGACCTGGGACCTGAGCTTCTCCCCTCTGGTGAGGGGCCATGACAGACACCTGGGAGGCCTGGATACACCAGGTGGCCAGAAGACTTAGATTCATTTGGCTGATTTCTCAGATTCCTCCACCTACAGAAGTCAGTCCCCCCCAGCTCTGGCCACCATCATACTGGGGCAGGAGATTGCTCTGCATCGAAAGGAGTATTATGGCAAAGGACTATACCTGAGGTCCTGCTCCCATCCAGAGCTTATGGAGGATGTGGAAGATGAGCATCAGGACGGTGAGAGCCTGGGCAGGACAGCCTAGGGGGCAGGACGGCTGGGAACCAATAGCCTGATGGGTACCCTACCCCTGATCCCTGATTCTAGGCTCCGCACACTGGACCTGGGTGATTGATTGAGAACCCCGGAAACACTGAGGTCCACCTGCTGGACCACATAGGAGGCCCCTTTAGGGATCACAAGGCCCCGGAGAGCTCCCTGATGGTGACAGTGACACCACTGCAGCCTGTTGAGGGCACCAGGCCACCATCTCCCTGGGCCTGTCTCTTGGCAAGCTTCCATTTCCCGGCCCTCTTAATTTTTTCAGACCAGTACATCAGCAACAGGTGGTAGCAAAGGCCCTGAACAGTATGGAGTCCAAGGCCCACATCGGACAGGAGAGGAACCAGGGAGACTCAGAAGGGGCTGGGACCCCCTCCAGCTTGGCACCACCCGCTGGCTCCATGCCTCCTCCTTGATTCCTCTCTGCCATGCCACCCCACTCCAGGTATTTCTCTGTCCTTCAAAGACAGTGAGTCTCAGGTGGTATCCCGCTGGTGTCTGTGGCTGGTGGCCAAGGAGCTGAGCTGGCAGAGCTCAGGGAGTTCAGAGAGGGAGAGTGGAAGCAACCCCAACCCCCCCAAGCCAGAACCCCCACAGCCTGGCAGACTTAGCCTGGGCAGAGGCAAGTGGATGTTTGCACTGGCCAGGGCGGTAGAGGAGCTGAGTGGGGGGGTTCTAGGGGACCCACGGTCACATGGACAAGATCTCATGCCTGGTATGAGAAAGCCATGAACTTAAACCCTTCTCTCCAGATGAAACCCTAGGACTTCGATGGGCTCAGGAAGAGGAAACAAAACAATGGAAAGCGAGGCCGGCTGGGGGGAGTGGGGGCACCCTTCCCTTCCTGATCACCCTACAAGTGGACAATAAAAAGCAGAAGAACAGGAGTCTGGGACTGTGAATTGGGTGCCCAGGCTGGGCCTGCTCACCGTTGAGGAGAGGGGAGGGGGAAGGGGAGTTCACACACAGGAAAGATGAATTCGAGGGCAGAGTGAAGAAAGCTGGCAGCAGTCCAGGGTCCTGGACCTCCTCCTCCACAGGAGCCTAGAATCACGAGAAGGACCAAGCTGCAGCAGGATGACAATGATGGATGCAGTTAATTTAGTGAACCATGAATTTACTGCTATCGTTTTCTTCACTTCGTGCAGCACTGGAGGAAGGGATTATCATTCCCATCTTCCAGGTGAGAAAACTGAGGAATCGGAGAGCTCCTCCAGGGGCACATAACTTCTAAGTGACAGAGTCAGGATTTGAACCTAGATCTGCCAGGCCCCCAAGACTCAACTACGAAGGGAGAAACAGGCTAGGGCCCCCAGGAGGAAGGAGCTGGCAGATAGTCTGAGGGCGGGACTGTGGCTTCTCTGATCTCAGGCCCCCTCCTCCGCCCAGGCCCCGCCCCTGCCCCTCCCAGCACTGCCTGGAAGTGTGGGGTGAGAGCTCCTCCTAGGACTCCCCTTTCCCCTTGGGGAAGCACTTGTGCCCCCCAGGGCCTTCCCCACAGAGGACCCTCTCCTCCTTCCTCATCATCTCCCCTCGTGGGACAGAAGGTGCCTCCACCTGCATCCTCACTTGCCCAGCCTCCAGGGCCTGCTGGCCACATAGCAGGCAAGCGATGACGGTCAAGCTGGATTTTGAGGAGTGTCTCAAGGACTCCCCGCGTTTCCGGTAAGTGTGACCTGGTCTAGGGGGCCAAGGAGGGGAAGGTCTAACACCCCCAGCACACACACACCTTTCCCCAGGCCAGACCTCCTTTCAGGGAGCAGGCCTCAAAAAGGCAGGAGCGAGCTTGTGGGCCAAAGTGGTACCCCACCTATCAAAGCAGGGTGCTCCAATGCTCTCCACCCCTGCATGCTGCACCTGGCCTCTGCAGTCTCCCTCACCCTGAGAGCTGGCATGCCCTCCTGCCTCTCACTGGGACCCCTGCCCCTCCCCCAGCACCTGCTCTGGGGCGGTTAGCAACTTCCTGCCCTGGCCACATCCACCCTCCTTCTACCCTTCCTGCTCTGGCCTGGGCGGTGGTAGCTTCTAGGCAGAGCAGAAGTGGGCGGGAGGATGAGCCTCTCAGCTCTGCAGCTTTCCCCTCCGCACCCACCACCCTACGACTCCATCTCCCGTGAAGAGGCAGACAGACCAGATGGACCCAGGCTCTGTTCCCATGACCCCCTCTTTCCCAGAGCCTCTATTGAGCTGGTGGAAGCTGAAGTGTCAGAACTGGAGACCCGTCTGGAAAAGGTGACCCTGACATGGAGAGGTGACCCGGGAGCAAATTAGGTTGAGAAGGGTGGGGCCAGGGAAAAAGCTGGAGACGAGCATACGTTCCAGGGATTATTGAATGCTGTGGAGGGCAGATATTTTGGAAACTTCAGAGAAGCAAAAAAGGTGATTCTATACCCTCAAGAAGCTCAAGATCTTGGAAAACAAGATCTACTTTTGGGCTGGGCTTGGTGGCTCATGCCTGTAATCCCAGCACTTTTGGAGGCCAAGGCAGATGGATCACCTGAGGTCAGGAGTTCGAGACCAACCTGCCCAACAAAGGGTAATCCCATCTCTACTAAAAATGCAAAAATCAGTGGGGTGTGGTGGCGAGTGTCTGTAGTCCCAGCCACTCCAGAGGCTGAGGCAGTACAGTCACTTGAACCCAGGAAGTGGAGGTTGCAGTGAGCCAAGATCCTGCCACTGCCCTGCATCATGAGTTACAGAGCGAGACTCCGTCTCAAAAAAAAAGACTTACTTTTGGACTTCCTTGTTCAGCTCTTGGGCTCCTCCTGCGTTGTGCCAGGCCTTGGGCATTTAGGGAGGGCAAGATCATTTCTGCTCCCATGGAGCCCAAAGGCTGACTGGAATACAAACCAGCAAAACATTTCAGTTCAAAACAGTAGGTCTCCCTTGAACACTCTTATCATACAGCATGTGTTCACAAATTCACCCTCTCTCATTCCCCTTACTTTTTACTTTTCTCTGCAGCATTTACCTCTGACACATTACGTATTTGCATGCTATATATTAGTTCTTTATTGCTGGGTAACAAATTGTCACAAATTTAGTGGGCAACATTATTTTTATGGGCAACATGGTGAGATTTTGTCTCTACAAATAATATTATTTATTTATTTATTTTTTCTTTTTCCTTTTTTTTTTTTTCTTATAAGATGGGGTTTCTGGCCGGGCGTGGTGGCTCACGCCTGTAATCCCAACACTTTGGGAGGCTGAGGCGGGTGGATCACGAGGTCAAGAGATCGAGACCATCCTGGTCAACACGGTGAAACCCCGTCTCTACTAAAAATACAAAACATTAGCTGGGCATGGTGGCGCGTGCCTGTAATCTCAGCTACTCAGGAGGCTGAGGCAGGAGAATTGCCTGAACCCAGGAGGCGGAGGTTGCGGTGAGCCGAGATCGCGCCATTGCACTCCAGCCTGGGTGACAAGAGCGAAACTCCGTCTCAAAAAAAAAGATGGGGTTTCACCATGTTTGTCAAGCTGGTCTTGAACTCCTGACCTCAGGTGATCCGCCCGCCTTGGCCTCCAAAGTACTTGGATTACGGGTGTAAGCCACCACGCCTGGCCTATTTATTTATTTATTTGAGACAGAGTCTTGCTCTGTCACCCAGGCTGGAGTGCAGTGGCAAGATCTCGGCTTACTAGAACCTCTGCCTCCAGGGTTGAAGCGATTCTTCTCCCTCAGCCTCCCAAGTAGCTGGGATACCTGTCTAATTTTATTTTTTATTTTTAGTAGAGATGGGGTTCTCACCATGTTGGCTAAGCTGGCCTTGAACTCCTGACTTCAAATGATCCACCTGCTTCAGACTCCCAAAGTGCTGGGATTACAGGTGTAAGCCACTGCATCTGGCCTACAAATAATAATTTTAAACAATTGACTAGATGTGGTGGCCACACCTGTGGTCCCAGATGCTTGAACTCCTGTGCTCAAGTGATCCTCCTACCTCAGCCTCCCAAAGTGCTGGAATTACAGGCGTGAGCCATCACACATGGCCTCAACTTTTTATTTTGAGTACATTATTGACTCAGGAGACTAGTAAGGAGATGTCTCATGTACCCATCACCCAGCCTCCCCCAGTGGTGACATCTTATACAACACTAGCACCTTATTAAAACCAGGAAATTAATATTGTCACATTACAGTTAACAATAGAGTCTATAGACCCTACTTTGATTTTACAATTTGCATATACTCTTTTGTGTGTGTTCTTTTTTGTTTTGACACAGAGTCTCACTCTGTTGCCCAGGCTGGAGGGCAGTGGTGCAATCTTGGCCCACTGCAACCTTCCTCTCCCAGGTTCAAGCGATTCTCCACCTCAGCCTCACGAGTAGCTGGGATTACAGGTACTCGCCACCACATCCAGCTAATTTTTGCATTTTTAGAGACAGGGTTTTGCCATGTTGGCCAGGATGGTCTCCATCTCTTGACTTCGAGATCCACCTGCCTTGGCTTCCTAAAGTGCTGGGATTACAGGTGTGAGCCACTGCACTTGGCCTTTTTGTATATAATTCTATGGTGCTTTATCACATGTATGGATTCCTTTAACCATCACTACATTCAACATATAAATGGACACGAGGAATTCCTTTACAGTGATACCCTAACCCTTCCCACACTCTTCTCTCATTCGTGGCAACCACTGATTTGTTCTCCATCTCTCTACTTTTATCATTTCCAGAATGTTGTATCAATAAAATCATACAGTATGTGACCCTTTGAGATTTGGCTTTTTGGCTCCCCCCACCGACACCACACACACACACACACACTCACACTCAGAATAATGCTCCTGCTGGGTGTGGTGGCTCATGAGTGTCATCCCAACTACTCAGGAGGTCAAGGCAGGACGGTTGCTTGGGGCCAGAAGCTCAAGACCAGCCTGGACAACATAGCAAGATCCCTGTCTCTGATTTTTTAAAAATTAGCCAGGCATGGTAGTGTGTGCCTGTAGTCTCAGCTACTCAGGAAGCAAAGGCTGGAGGATCCCTTGAACCCAGGAGTTCAAGGCTGCAGTTGAGCTATGATTCTACCACTGTACTCTAGCCTGGGTGACAGAAACCTCAACTCTAAAAATAATAATCAATTTTTAAAAAGATTAATGCTTTTGAAGTTTATCCAAATCATTGCACATATCAACAGTTCAT